TATTCGAGTTGCTCGAACCATATTCGAGTTGCTCGAACCATATTCGAGTTGCTCGAACCATATTCGAGTTGCTCGAATCTTATTCGAGTCGCTCGAACATATTCGAGTTATTCGAATTGCTCGAATATTTGTATACGTATTGTATTGTAGGGTTATCAAGTACTATACAACGCTAGATTTAAGGCTTGTGTATTTCATATATCCGTAATTTTATTAGTATCCGCTTAAATCGTATCCGCCAAAAAACTAATTGACGTGATACAATTTCAGTTCGCAGATTTAGAGTTTGATTAAATGAAATACTCTAATTTTATGAAATTTTTGAGGTTGTTGGAGTGGCAGTCAAAGTGTTAACAAAGCATGTTGATTAAATTAGAGCGGCGTATAGAACTTTAATTTAATCAACATGCTTTATTAATGCCGTGACTGGCACGCCAACAACTTCGAAAGTTTCATAAAATTCAAGTATCCTGCTTCGTCAAACTAAATTTGCGAGCTAAAGTTGCACAACGTCGATCATTTCGTAAACATTTTTACGTTTCGCGGATCCTGATTACGGAGACATAAACCAGATCGGCGTTAAAATTAATTTTCAAGTCCGAGAAAATTGTTCCAACGAAAGCGTTAAAGCACGAATATTGGTGTTGGGATTTTTCAAGCAACTCACATTTCCTTTTTCGATATTTTTCGTCGATTCCGAGTAATTCGAAAAATTCGAAAGATCGATCGTTAAAGTAAATTCTCCTTAATCGATGCTCAGTTTGGGAACAAAAATGGACACTTTTGGAAGAGCAGGTACGATTATTCCAGCCTTGCGGCTCCTTTTTATAGTTGTTGACAACCGGTAATCGGAAAAAACGAGCCACAAGGCTCGAATAATCGTATCTTCCCCTTCCCATATTGTGCATTTTTGTGTACAATCTGAGCGTCGATTAGGGAGAATTGACTCTACTTGAAATTCACAGACTTCAAACACGGTAACCGAATCGAGTGTACACGCGCAGCTCTAACAATGATCCCCAAATAGATCGGGCAACTCGATTACAAAGTTCCCTGGCAACGAGCATCATCAGCGTGTCCAGGTCCCGCAGGGTTCGCCGGCAACGAAATCCTCGGTCGCAGATCGAAGAACGAAAAACTCCGGGGAATCGAATAATCAGCGACGTTTAACTATTCCATCAGCCGGGACGAGCACTTAGCCGGACAATTTGCAATTTCGCGAACGACATTACAAACAACGGGAATCCGGGCATCGGGTCGGCACTCGCCGGCGCGCGGCGCTGCAAAGCGCGGCGAGCGTAAACGAGAGAAAGATTTAATTTCTGGATCAATTAGCTATTAAGCTGTGGGCTCGATCCCTGGTTGCAATTTAAACTTCGCCCGGCCTCCGACTTCTTGTTTCCCCTGTCTTTGTCGCGTTCGCCGCCGTAAAACCGAGGCGGCGCGGCGCGGCGCGGCGCGGAAGCGTGCAAATAAATAGAGCCAACGAGACGCAAAGTCAATTATCGTTCGGCGGGAGCCGACGGAAGTTCCGGGCTCGCTCTGACCGCGTTAAACGAACCAAACGGAATTATTCATGACGAACTTTCGATGCGCAGGTGTGTTTAACATCCCGCGTCACTTTTACCCGAGTCAGCCTACGCTGCACTCTTTATTAAATATGCACCGTCGTCGACGACGACGTCGCCGTCGTCGTAGCCGCCGCTATCGTCGTTGATCGCGTTCCTTCCCGCCCTCCCCGCGGCACAATGATGTCGACCGTGGCAGCCCGTCGCTCTCGCTTTACCGGCGAACGTGTGAAGAATTTGCCTCCTCACGCTTCGCCGCAGCTGCTACATTGCAAATAAAGTCTGCGTGATTTTTTGCAGTTTGTGCGCCTCTTTTTTTCGGCGAACGTTTCTGTAAATATTACCGTTCCGTTTCAACGAGAAACCGTGTTATATTCTCTTTCTCTCTCTCTCTCTCTCTCTCTCTCTCTCTCTCTCACCTTTTAACTTTGGCTCTTCCACTCTTTTTCGCTTTTTTTTCTGTTTCCCGTCGACAGAAAGCTTCTGTTCGGTGACCGGTGCATTAACAGGCGACTAGCGGGCGACACGTGACGAACTATTTTTGCGAACCGTGTAGGGTACATGTGGGTATTACTGCGGGCGTCCCAAATACTACGGTATTTTATAGAAGTAATAAAATCTAACATTATATATATATATTTTTTTATATACATATTTATTTATATATCTATATTTATTTATATATCTTCCAAAAACGAATCTCATAATTTTTTGTATGTTTAATGTTGATAATTTATAACATACAAGTAACAGCAATCGCAGTTTTGATTATTTTATTGACCTTTGATATTCGGAAGTTTATGAAAACGTTGAGTCTTATGAAAAATACTCGTAATGGTAGCTGTGAATCCTGATTCGAAAGGCGTTTATATTTTGGTAATTAATAATAAAGCATTCATTTTAGCGTTATTTTTGGATAAAGTACTTGTACAGAACATTTTACAAGCAATATAGTAATTATTGAAATCTGTGTATATTATTGAAACTTTTAGGGTGTGTTAGTATACTTTTTTGTACACAGGCAACGTTATCTACAAAATATGA